GGGGGAATTGGTGCAGAGGACAAATTAAAGCCTCAATGACAAATCACCAGGGGATTTCAGTGGAATTTATGGCAGAGGTGGAGGGAGAGGACAGTAAAGGCTTAGCTGTAAAACCAGGGACTTTAGATATGCAGTGATAGCATTTTTAAGGGTTAAACAAGGTATTAAAGACTCACTGGATAACTTTTTGAGGTGGTGGGTGTGGATTCAGCTTGGCTCTATAGATATGTTTCATTATTCTGCCTGGAATGTTCCTGCATATGGCATTAAACCTATGAATTCCCATGGAGACAAGCAGGCGACATGCATGGCCAACATCTTTAGTAATAATTCTTATTTAAGATTTTACTTTTCACCGCTCACTGTTTTTATTTATCTAAGACCTCATTTACACTGAAACGAATCCGTGTATCACAGTATTGGAAACGATCTGCTTCCAGACATGTCGTTTCTGTACCTGCAAGCCTTCCCTATCCACACAGCTTTGAGCATATTTATTTACGTTTTACAGAAATTAAATTTAAAACCACATGGCTAATTCGATAAACTGAGCGCTCAAAACAGCTCGCTATTGTGCGCTGATGCGGTTCAGCTTCTGTCGGACTAAAGGACACGACTCAGTGGATTATATGTGTTCTTTCTGTGACAGAGGGGTGTTCTGCTGATGGTGAGTCTGTTCTGTGTTTCTGTCTCGTTGGAGATGGTTCGTGTTAAACTTTTCAGAGATTATACGTCTGCAGGTCACACTCACAGACCGCCTATATGAATATATTGTAGCCTCTTAGCGTTTTGGAGGTGAATTAGCTACTTCACGGTGCATAGACGTACATCGGCGTATCAGTGGCACCAGATCGTTCCGTCTCTGGGGCTGTTTTCAGTTGGATTAGTGTGAACGAACACTGTATCCACAACGAAAACGACTCGAATACATACTAGTGTGGACAGGGCCTAAGGCAATTCAATGTATTGTTGTTCTTGTAAATAAAATTATTTACCCTCTACTTCTCAAATCTTACATTATTACTAGGGGTGTAACAATATCCAAGTCTCATGATACAATATCATCACGGTATGAACCTCACGGTATGATATTTATTACGATATCGTGGGAAAGCTCACGATATGGATAGGGACGAAACTGAAATGGAGCAAAGGATCATGGTCTATGTAGTTCCCTCTGTCTTTTTTTTTTTCAGCTATTGGTGCACCATAACTCTTAATTTAAGCAAAGAGACTTGTAATTCGATATATATTATGATAGTCAACGATATTATTGTGAAAACTTTGACAATATGATATCACGATATTTCGTTTATTGTTACACCCCTAATTATGACACAAAAATGGTAAAAAATCTCACCACTTCTGCAAAACAAAACAAAAAAAACTCCAACTTTTATATACTGAAGTTGAAACATATTGTCTTGTATATGGCTTTTGTGGCACCAATCTTCCACTTATTTTACAGACTGGGCAGATTCAGTTTACAGAGCTGCTGGTCAGTATCACAACGCCGCCTGTGGTAAAAGTACAAGAGCGATGAGAGTCCAGCTCAGGTCTGGTAACAGGATTTAAAGCCTGAGTTTGAGGAACAATTGGTTGAAGTTGTGGTGATTCGTCAGGTCTCTTTGTCAGCAGCAGGTTTTATTACTTGTCCTGGAGTGGCTGGGTTTGTTTTGTGAGGAAAGACTGTGGATAACCTGAGATTAAAAAGAGTTGTGCATGGCAAAAGGAGAAATTCAATTTGTCAACTGGACAAAAGTTTATTTGGTCAAATATGTTTCGTAGCTCATCCAAGCTGCTTCTTCAGTTCTGGTCAAAATGTTGGTGGACACTTCCTTATATTTGCCTGAAGAAAGGAGCTAACTACAATGACTAAACAAAAACACACACACAAAAAAACAGATCTTAGTCAGAGAAAAGAATTGCTTTGAGAAGGGAGTTAAAGAGGCTATTTCTGTTAAGAGAATCCTTCCTTAAACAGAAACGGAGGACTCAGACATCATCTATCTCCTATTTACAACTCCATCCTCAAACCTAAATCAAAACAAAAAAGAAAAGAAAAAAACAAACACAAAACAAAACAATAGCTGTAGCCAGGTCAGGCCCAAACATGTGAAAGCTCCATTATGTCCCTGAATTACGCCAATAAGGCCCCACAATCAGTTTATTAGGTTGAGCTAACTAACAGACACTGTAAACAAGTAGATGTGTTAGTTTCAGAGTAGTTTCAGTGTAGTTAGCTCCTCCCTTCAGGCAGATATAAGGAAGTGTCCACCGGCATTTTGACCAGAACTGAAGAAGCGTTTCAACATTTTCCACCAAAATAACTTTTGTTTTTACACACATCTTGAGTGTAGTTGTGCATGTTTTTTGGTAAAATAAAAAATAAATAGTGCCAGATAATGGGAATATTCAAGACATTTTGGTGCAACAGTGTAAACAAAAGCAGTCAACAATACATATACTACCAGCTAAAAGTTTGGACACCCCTTCTCAGACATGAAATATATGAAGTAAGATATGTGGAATTATGTAGAAAAGAAAGAAAGTTAAATAATCTATCTATTACTGCAAGGAACGTCCATCCGTGTGTGTCTGTTCGTGTTTGTCTGTTCCATGCGTGACTCTCGAACCGTTCATCCGACTGATCTCAAATTTGGAGAGTATCATCCTAATGGGACGGGTGTGTGCAGTGCCAATTTTCATGTTGTTAGGACAAAAAATGCCAAAGATCTGGTTCCACTAAACACTGTCATTTTATTTTATATTCAAATCCTTGAACTAGACACCTTTTGTTTATATTTTATTTAGAGTCATTTCTTTGCTACAGGATTCCACATAACTTCATATATTTGTAGCCTTAATAAAAAATAAATAAATAAAACACACTGAATGACAGGGTGCGTCCAAACAGACTGACAGGCAGACACACAGACAGATAAATAGATAACACCAGCTGCTTTTTAGAATTACATTAAATCTCAGGGAGAGCACAACTCGACGTAAGTTTGTGATGAGGAAAACAACCTCATAACAAAAATCTGAAAATAGCACAATATGGGCCTTTAAGGTGGATACATTGATCTGTTTTGCCATGTCTTTCCCAGACACAAATCAATACTAAAAATTGTACCACTAGAGAAGCACTAGACATGATAATACTAAAGAAACCACTATTGTTTTGTCTGGAAAATGTCATATTGTCAAAAATATTGTGTTTTTCTCTGGCATAAAAATCAATATAGAGTATCAAACATTTTCCTTAGCAGTTCATGAAATTGTATTCATATTGTTGTCTTGTATTATAATAACTAGGGATGCACTGGTCTGACACTGGTCTCGGTTATCAGTGTTGATATTCAAAAATATTGCTGCAACAGATATAGGTTCAGTCGATACTCTTCTGTTTGGTGTATCTGATGATAAATTGGTGTATCATATTTTTCAGACTATAAGTAGCACTTTTTTCATGGTTTGGGTGGTCCTGCGACTTATGCTCCGGTGTGATTTATATATTAAAATTTTGACTGACAGCTTTGAGAGGGCGCTCTAGTCTTGTGTGTCAGTATCTGCTGCGCCGATTACTCCTGCACCGCTTTCACTTGGAGCATGTCTCCTGCAGAAAGAGCCACTGTCCTGTTGCACATAGTGAAATATGCAGCCGAAAACGGTAATCGAGCAGCAGAAAAAAAGTTTGGAGTGAGCGAGAAACTTGTGAGGGACTGGTGAAAAGTGGGGATGGAGAACACAACTTCACAGCAGCTGGGAGTGTGCATCATGCGACTTTCCTGGAAGTCCTGGATGGATCAACAAAGCCTGGATTTCAGTGACAACTGAAACCGTGCTGTCGGGATTCAGAAAGCCCAGAATAATTCTAACTGAAACTGATGCCGAGTCTGACGGCAGCTACACAGAAGAGGAAGTGGTGCTCTGTTTACCTCCGGAGGTCGTGGAGTTGTTCAGAAGTGACACCGAGGATGAAGAATTCAGTGGATTTAGTGATTTGGAGTGAGATGGAGAGTTTGTTAAAATTGTTCTGTTCTGTTGTTTATGTTATAGTTATTTGAAGAACTGTTCATATGTGAAGTTAACAGTCTGTTGTTCTCTGTTCTATTTTTTTTTTTTTTTACTATAAATACATTTTCAAAATGAAATGTCAGTTCCTGGTCTCTGATTTTACAAAATCTTACAGTCCGGTGTGACTTATACATGTGTTTTTCTTCTTCAGTATGCATTTTTTGGCTGGTGTGACTTATAGTCTGAAAAATATGGTAATAAGTCTTTTTACTGAGCATATATGTTGCAGAAAGTCTTATAATAACAGAATTTTTATTTACACAAAGTTATTTTGTAGTTACTAAACAGATAAATAACATTTACATTATGCAGTTGGATCAGTTTTATCTTATTTTATATAATATTTAGTATAAAGGAAAATACGTGCTGTTTTCAGTCTCTGTAATATCGGGTACTGGTGGATACTTCAAGCTATATTGTTGAAATCAGTATCAAAACTGAAAAAGTAGACCTGTCACAGTAAATATTATATCAACTTATTGTTCAGTACATGACAGATGGAACAATACTTTTTGGAGTTTAAAATTTATAGTGGGTATTTTTCCATGTACTAGTGGGAAAACTTTGGTTCTTTTTTCTGTACTTCAATGAGATCTGAGCTGTAGGAGGTAGAATTATGAACTTCTATGACTCACTATATATACAAACTGTGATGCATTCAGTTATTTATTTATGGCAGTTCAAGTTTTTTAACAATATTGTGAATCTAGAATACTTTTTAAGGAGTAATATAATAATTTATCATCTATATTTCCTTCAGCAGTAGATCACACTTCAAAATGTGTTTTCATGGTCTATGGAAAAGCTGGATCAGTGTGTCCCTAGTTTAACATGACAACATTACCCTCCATGAGTTTGTGCATAGTAATATAATCCTCTATGTGTATGTGTATGTGTGTGGGAGAGTTTGTGGTACTCACGCGGAGGAAAGAGGGGAAGCCCAGGCCGTAGTAGCCCACAGCGAAGTAGTCTGGTTTGGGTCGGATCACCTTCACGATGTTCTCGTAGAACTGGGCCTGTTTCCTCTGATGGATAAAAGAACAGAGTTTTTGAACATTGTATTCAAAGTTGGAATTATTTTCTAATTCTAGCAATTCAGAAGCTATATATTTGAAATTTTTATCCAAATAACTACATAAATTAGTTGCAAAATGATAAAAGATGGCGCAAATAATAGTTTATTATGATTATAGATCAGATTATAGATACGGTATTTAGAACATTTAGTTTATACACAAATGTTTGGGCACTATAGACAAACTCAGACAAATAATGAAAATATTAGATGATTAATTAAATTCATATATTGATAAAAAGTTAATCAAGATGTTTATATATTAAAAAAACATGTGGATTCACCATAGACTGTATAAAGAGTCTAAGGGAGCGTGACGTCACACATAGTGTTCTGCTCCAGGTAAATGAAGCTCATCAAGAGCGAGTTTTGAACAGTGTTCCATATTAGGAATAGAAATTGATTTATGGACAAAATAGTGAAATAAAAACATCAGGATCATGTAAAGCGGGTTCATATGAACGTTTTAAGATGACAGGGCTAACTGTAGTAGTTATGGAGAGAGGGACAACGTTTTTTCAATATAAAGTGAATTGGAGCCAAAGTCGATGGAGCAGGAAGCACCCCCATGTTCGCTTCCTATTTAGAAGGCGGGTATCTATGTGTATTTATATATAGTCAGTGGAAGACATGTCAAACTCAGGCCCAGGAGCCAAATTTGGCCAGTGATATAATTATATTTGGCCGCAAGATTATATCAAATATATATTAGAGCTGACCCGCAGGCTATAGAGACATGATTTATTTAAAATTTGTTATTACTTTATATTATGCTTGTTCTGGATTCAATGTTTAAGCAAAACTATTATTAAACATTTATTTTACATTTATTTGACATAAGACATATCTCGTAAGAAGAGAAAACATGAAGATGTTGTTGAAATTTTTCTATAAATATTTACTTTGGCCCACGACTTAGTCCCAGTTTTTAATTATGGCCCTTTGTGAATTTGAGTTGGACACCCCTGGTCTATGGGATTCACTTAATAAAATGTGCCAAAATGATATTCTGAACAGGTTGTGTCTTATTGCTCCTAATCATATAAATAATTAAACACAGCAGCAGTAGTGAAGTAGTTGTATGGTCTGCCTAATTTAGAGTAAACGTACATTAATTCATTTTTTTTTTTTTAATACAAGTCTGGTTTATAAATGTCTTACTTACCAGAGAAGCACTCAGCTGCTCATAGTCAAACATCTCATTTTCATATTGTTCGGCCAACTCCTTCCCCAAAATGATGGCTTCCTCCCACATCTATTCAGCACACAGACAAAAGCACACTTAATATTATGCTCATACATCACTGAGAGCTCGAGCAAAATAATCCATAACTGAAGAAGAGGTGCAAGAAACACAAATGTTCAAATCGTTTAAAATTGTCAACATTAAGCTTTTGTTATTTGTTGACTTACTCACAATGGGAAGAGTAAATGCAACACTGTGAAATACAAAACTCAAACAGGAGTAAAAACATGTAGACCAAAAACTAGGGATGTAACAATAACTGAAATATCGTCAAAGTTTTCACAATAATATCGTGGACCATCACAATATATCCAATTACAAGTCTCTTTGCTTAAATTAAGAGTTAGGATGCAACTCTAACAATTTCTTTAAAGGTCCTACATTACAAAAAATGGATTCTTTATGTTAAAATGTTACTACCTTGTCAAAAATATCCCTGGTGATGTGTTTTATTTCATTCACACATGTTTGGGTAACAATTTATTATTTGTCTGTCTACATCCACAAATCTCAAAATGCTCTGTTCCACCTTGTGACATCATGAAGTGGTAGTTTTCGAGTTAACAGCTAAATTTGACCTTTTGTTCAGTACAGATCGGCAATTCCAGGATTGAAATTATCCAAATGATTCTAGTGAAGGTGTATGGAGTTTAAAAACACAGTGGAGCACTTACTGTATTACCGCATGAGATCACAAAGTCGAACAGAGTGTTTTCTGTTTGAGAGAAAAACTGAGTCTAAATATGGAGGGATTCTGTGTTAAACATGTGTGAATCAAACAAAATACAACTCCAGGTTTGTTTTTGATGATGAAATAACATTATAACATAAACCAGTATATAGTTTAATAGCATCAGTATCACCCCAAAAAAGACAGATTCACAGTGTTCACAACTGAAGGTGCACTGTGTAACTTTTCGGTTGGGGGTCCATCACCTGCTTGTTTCTATGGATATAAATGAAACAGAAAACACACACTAAAGTTCTTGTAGAGGTGCAAATGCAAGGAACAGCAAAACAAAAGTGAAAAAATGCATAGTACACTGAGATGGCCGATGTCTAAAAGTTTTTAAAAAATGTTTAATATTTGTCAGATATTTTTCTTGCTTTGGACCACAGTATACTCTTGTAAAGGTGCAAATGCAAGGAACAATGTACTTTACTGTGGTCCAAAGCAAGAAAAACATCTGACAAAGCCTTTTTTTTTTTTTTTTTTGCCCAAAAGTTATTTAAAAATAATTTTAAAAAAGCTTTTGGACATCGGCCATCTGAGTTTGCTATGCATTTTTTCACTTTTGTTTCTATGGATGTGTCATTGCTCTGCCTGAAATGTTCCACAGTGTGACATTAAACAGCTTTTTCTTACATTTATTCAATTACAGGTTGTTTTTTTTTTTTTTAGCTCAAAAATACCTAGAAAAACAACATTCTGACTGTGAGCAGAATCCGTGTATCATTCGTTCATTCGTTTTTCAATATAAAACCAAAAATAAGAAAACGAAAAAACAACAGTTTTCTTCGTTATTTGTCTCCAAAACCAAAATGAAAAAACGGATAATGATTCGTTTTTTCAGTTTTCGATTTTGTGTTTAAATGAAGAATGGAAAAAACGGATAACGGCCGTTTCCCGTTTACGTGACTTCCGTGACTGCGATGCCGAACTTTTGCACCGGGTACGGACTGAACCGGGACTGATCCAGGTCCGAGACCAGACCGGGACTAGAGCGGGACAGAGCGGGACCAGACCGGGACCAGACCAGGACCAGAGTGGAACTGGGGCGGACTTCAAACTTTGACTCTGAGCCTCCGCGGTTATCTGTTTTTTCCATTCTTCATTTAAACACAAAATCGAAAACTGAAAAAACGAATCGTTATCCGTTTTTTCATTTTGGTTTTGGAGACAAATAGCAAAGAAAACTGTTGTTTTTTCGTTTTCTTATTTTTGGTTTTATATTGAAAAACGAGTGAACGAATGATACACGGATTGAGCGGGGTCGCCTCTCCACAGATCTGACCTGTAACTTGGTCTGGTTTAGACTCCGTGAAGAAAGAAAGGTTTAAAGCCATACTGTGAAATATTAAGGACAAAGCAGTGGCATCTCCATGGAGAAAAGCACCAGAAAAGTTGCACAGTGCACCTTTAAGTACTACCCAGTATCCTAGTATACATAGTTTTATCAGATATTAGCGATTTCAAACCACTCTCTTGTTTATGAATTGCTGTATTTATGCAAGTGACGCCTCTCCAGAGCTGTGGAGAGGCGTCTGAGATCGCACCCACTCGAAGGCCTCTTGTATCGTGGTGGAGGAGAGGCGGGAGGGGCCTGAGCGGGGAGGGCTGGAGGTAGAGCTAGTCTTAACTCTCACTGGTCTGTCTGAGAGGGCCATCTGGACATGTTTCCTCAAGTCAATATCTGCTTCCTGGAGTGTTTGTCTACTCTAAACTCACTGCAAACTCAAAAATAGTTCTGTATTCTTGTGAGTTTTTAAGGATTGCATATTACTGCAACAAGTACATTCACGCAGGGTAAAGGTGAATTAAAGGGCCCATATTACTCTTATTTTCTGATCTAGGTTATAATCTTCACAAACAGACCTGGAGTTGTGTTTTGTTGTGTTTGATTCACACATGTTTAACACACAAATCCTGCATATTTAGGCTGAGTTCTTCCCTCAAACTGAAAAAAAAAAAAAAAATCTGTACCACCACTGTATTTTTAAACTCCACACACCTTCACTAGAATCTTCTCTTCTTCACTTGAATATTTGAAAACTAACACTTGACATTATGACATCACAAGGTGGAACTGAGCATTTTCAGCTTTGGAGATATAGATAGACAAAAAATAAAGGATTACTTAAACATGTGTGACTGAAACAAAACACAACTCCAGGTCTGTTTTTGAGGAGGTGTGAGAAATATACTGTGTTGATCGTGCTGATTCACATATATTTGTACCTTGGAATGACAACAGGGAGAACACATGATGTCTATCTATGGTTCTATAAAAATACATGTTATTAAACTGTACTGATGCCCCTAAATCTAACAATGTTCAACAAGTTAATGTTTTGTCAGATGGGTAGTATAAAGCTACCCCACTTTCTGGGTTTTGTCAGAGGTGTCGTTCTGGGGTGACAGTTGTACTTGGTAATCAACTTAAATCTCTGTGAACTGCAAATGCTAAAATAAAGTGGCCTGTACTCGGACCCTTCCACCTCTTGTGCTTTTTTCCTAGGACACGCACTGAATTCTTCCGAAAAGCCCACACGGGTAACAGCTTTGTAATCTGATTTAAAGGGACTGTTTGGAATTTTGGACATAGGGCCTCATTTCCTAGTGATCCAGAGTGTTGGAGACGTGTGGATCCAGTCCTTGTATTTGCAGAGGTCGCTGGTGCTGGACTAGTGCATGTCAATGGTCATAGTTATCCTGCCACTAAAAACAGTCTTACCCACTCCACAGAACACCTGAAGAAAATCTATTATTACACCAGACTGTCCATGTAAATGTCTGTGTCGATAGAATAATGTTTGAAATAAAACTAACCTTGCATCGAGGGACTATTTTCTCGTATATCAGTCCGCCGCTGCCAAACTTTCTATCAGGAAGTACAACTGGTTGGTTTTACTTCTAAAATTATTCTATCAACACCAGACATTTACATCGACAGTCTGGTGTAATAAAGATTTGTTTCGGGTGTTTAGTGGCAGGATAACTATGACCATTGACATGCACTAGTCTAGCACCAGTGACCTCTGCAAATACAAGGACTGGATGGAATATTTTTAAAAAGTGTCTCCACACGTCTCCAACACTCTGGCTCACGAGGAAATGAGGTCCTATGTCCAAAATTCCAAACTGTCCCTTTAAAGCTCATAAGAGTATATTTTCGATAATATAGAACCTTTAAATGTCTTGCCCAAAGACACAACTAGTGTGACTGAACAACCAACTTGAGGATTACTGTTATTGTGGGGAAAAAAGAAGTTGGGAAAGTAGTAAAGTTAGAACAACCTGACATGACAAAAAATATAAATGTTAAAATGTTATTGTCAATCATGATACTAGTTTACTCATGCTAACAAACTGTTCCATTTTTCTTCTCTTTATTTAAAAAAATCTGGATAAATGTTGAAATTGTGATGTTGATGGACAAACCAAAGCACTTAATCGAGCAGAGCCTTAAAGGTGCATTGTGTAACTTTTCTGGTGGAGGGTTGGTCAAATGCTTTTCTCCATGTAGATGTTATTCCTTTTTGTCTAGAATGTTTCACAGTGTGGCATTAAACCTTTCTACATACATGGAGACTAGGGATGTACAAAAAGATTGAAATCTTGATATATATCGTATTGTTGAATGTGATGATACAGTATCGATATCATGGGCTGCTGTATCGATATATCGCCAAGAGTATTTTTTGGTATATTTTACTAAATGGGCGGCAGTAGCTCAGTTGGTAGAGCATTCGCCCACTGATCTTTTTTATTGAACCGTATCGAATCGATTTGAAATATATCGTATCAAACTGAAAGCTCACTGTATCAAGATATGTATCATATCGGCAACTTCTTAATGATACCCAGCCCTAGTGGAAACCAAAACAGACCAAGTTACAGATCAGATCTGTGGAGAGGCAATCCCGCTCACAGTCAGAATGTATTGTTTTTTTAGGTATTTTTGAGCTGTACAGTCGTCCCTCATTATAACGTGGCTCAAGTTTCATGGCCTCGCTGTTTCGCAGATTTTTATTAGTCCAATTTTGCATGCTTTTTTTTTTTATTTTTATGGCATATGGTCGCACATTGTGTTCCTCCCCCTGAATTCTGATTGGCTAAGAGACTGTAGACCATTGTCAATCAGTCTTCTCCGTGCTGTGTCTCCTGTACAGTACAGAATGTGTTCACCTTGACAAATTTACATAAATGTTTAAAGTGCTGTATGTTTGCGAGTTTTCTCTCCGACAAAACCCACAATGTCGAAGAAACGTTCTGCACCGACAAAGGCTCCTGCGGTCGCACCCAAAAGGCCGAGGAAGATGCAAACCATCGCACAAAAATTTGGACTTCTGGACATGCTGAAGGAAGGTAGACTGTAGCGCATTACGGCTTAAACGAATCTTCGGTTCATTACATAAAGAAGGAGGAAAATAACATCAGGACGACAGATGCAAAAATGGTTGTAAGTGTCCTGTCTGAGAAAAGTACTTAAAGTGTGTGGTGAGGGGTTTTACAGCCTTAAAACAGATATAATAAGCTGACTACTTTGCAGATTTCACCTATTGCGGGTTATTTTTAGAACGTAACCCCCGCGATAAACGAGGGACCGCTGTAAAACCACCTGTAATTGAATAAACGTCAGGTAGAGCTGTTAAATGTCAGAGCAATGACATACCCACAGAAACAAGAAGGTGACGGACTCTCCACCACAAAAGTTACATCGTCCACGTTTAATAAAACAAAACATGTCAGATGCTGCCTGCACAATTTTCTTTGCCGTCAACGCAGTGACGGCCAACAGTGCTAGTCTCCGATCCAAGCCGGTCCCCGTAAGTAAGCATCTGTCTGGTCGTATGGGGAGATTGTAAAATGTCTGTTTAACTCGGCCATGCAAGACAGGAGGGGTTAGGTACTTAGAGCTACAGATGCTAAGCAAATGTGTGTTATGGCTTTGCGAACTGTGCATATATTCAGACTGAGGTGGACTGCAGGTCAGACATCTGTGGTGTATTTGATTTTGTCCCGGTTTACTGTTCAAGGTCCCGTATTACGCTATTTACCGATCTGTGCTATAATGTTGTTTCCTCATCACAAACAGACCCAGAGTTGCGTTTTGTTTGGTTTCATTCTCATATTTTTAACCCGCAAACCCTGCATATTTAAGCTGAGTTCTTCTCTAAAATGGAAAACACTTTGTTCCATGTCATGTGCTTCAGTGTGTTTTTAAACTTCGTACAAGGTATTTAAAAAGGAAAAAAATATATGTACAATTCTGTAAACCTCTCCAAAATATCGTGATAATATCGTACCATGAGATTTGGATATTGTTACATCCCTATTATAACATGGTTAAAAGCTCACAAGAATCGTTTTCTGTACAGTCATCCCTCGTTTATCGCTCTAAAAATAACGCGCAATAGGTGAAATCCGCGAAGTAGCCAACTTTATACACTTTTCTCACACAGGACAGTTACAATCCTTTTACATCCTTCTTAAAACTTATTGCTGCTGTCGTCCTTTTGTTATTTTCCTCCTTCTTTATGTAACGAACTGGAGATTCATTTATTCCGTAATGGAGCCAACAGCGCAGAGTCCAGCACGGGTCCATTTTTGGAGACCCGCACCAGCGCAGTACAGCACCGCACCCGCCTGTTAACACGAGATTATATCAAACTTTTGTGCTGCATACGCCACGGACTGAACGAAGACTAAACCAGGACTAAACCAGGACTAACCTAGGACTGATTCCAGGACTGAAGAGGAGGACTAAACCAGGACTAAAGCAGGACTAAAACAGGACTAAACAAGAGTAAACCAGGACTAAAACAGGACTAAGACAGGACTAAACCAGGACTAAAACAGGACTAAGACAGGACTAAACCAGGACTAAAACAGGACTAAGCCAGGACTAAAACAGGACTAAACCAGGACTAAAACAGGACTAAACAGGACTAAACAGGACTAAAACAGGACTAACAGGACTAAACAGGACTAAACCAGGACTAAAACAGGACTAAAGACAGGACTAAACCAGGACTAAAACAGGACTAAACAGGACTAAGACAGGACTAAAACAGGACTAAAACAGGACTAAACCAGGACTAAAACAGGACTAAGACAGGACTAAACCAGGACTAAAACAGGACTAAAACCAGGACTAAGACAGGACTAAAACAGGACTAAAACAGGACTAAAACAGGACTAAACCAGGACTAAAACAGGACTAAACAGGACTAAGACAGGACTAAAACAGGACTAAAACAGGACTAAACCAGGACTAAAACAGGACTAAGACAGGACTAAAACAGGACTAAACCAGGACTAAAACAGGACTAAACCAGGACTAAAACAGGACTAAAACAAGAGTAAACCAGGACTAAAACAGGACTAAACCAGGACTAAACAGGACTAAAACAGGACTAAACAGGACTAAAACAGGACTAAAACAAGAACCAGGACTAAAACAGGACTAAACCAGGACTAAGACAGGACTAAAACAGGACTAAACCAGGACTAAGACAGGACTAAAACAAGAGTAAACCAGGACTAAAACAGGACTAAGACAGGACTAAGACAGGACTAAAACAGACTAAAACAGGACTAAAACAGGACTAAACCAGGACTAAGACAGGACTAAACCAGGACTAAGACAGGACTAAAACAGGACTAAACCAGGACTAAACCAGGACTAAGACAGGACTAAAACAGGACTAAAACAAGAGTAAACCAGGACTAAAACAGGACTAAACCAGGACTAAACAGGACTAAAACAGGACTAAACCAGGACTAAAACAGGACTAAAACAGGACTAAAACAGGACTAAAACAAGAGACTAAACCAGGACTAAAACAGGACTAAACCAGGACTAAAACAGGACTAAACCAGGACTAAACCAGAAATGAAACAGGACTCACTGTCAGGACGGGCTCGGAGGTAACCGCAGGAGAAAACACCCGCACAGAGCTCCGCACCTCGCGAAGGTAAGAGCGGCAATTCCCCGACTGCGCATTGCGGACAAACTGCTCGGCGTTCTCTCTCTTAAGTCCAAGATTAGTCCTGGTTTAGACCTGGTTTAGTCTTGACCTACCGGTGTGTAATTACTACCCGCCCGTAATAAACAATACGCATTCATAAGCTGTAAAAAAAAGCAAAACTGCACTAAAAATAATCCGTGGAACAGCAAGATCGCAACAGATGAACCATGATCTAGCGAGGGACGACTTTCAGCTCAAACAACAACACTTTTACAGAATAGGGCGCCCAGTTAGCACTAAAATACGTAGCTACGGATGGTAACCTACTGTTTTTTTCTACAATAGTGAAACTCTCCAGAGCACAGAGGGGCACCGTGAGAAAAAGATATGTTTCTGAAAATCACACCCAAAGGAGCGGAGAGGAGCTCAGCGGGTGGTACGAGAGCTGGAGACATACGATACGAAATGTGGAGAAAAACACAAAGGAGTCCTATTAGAGCTACAGACTTTGATACGGGACTTTTGTACAGACTATTGTACGGGCTCAGATATAACGATTTATTCTTTTGTTCAGAAGTGTGCGCCCAGAAGATCTTATGACGAAATGAATCAGATATTAAATTGAACTTAGACATTTTATTAGTGAAATCCAATGTCATTTAAAGAGACTAGAACATGAAAAGCAAATGTTTATCAGTGTCAAAAGTTGGTTAGCTGTTTTCAGGAGCAGAATGTAAATGTAAAAATCATGATTTAGATTCAGATTCATGCAGCTAAAACTTGGAAAACCTAAAACACGTGAGCCATGCCTCTACTTTGACGAGTTTTTAAAATCCAGGCTCAAAACGGTTCTGTTTAGCTGCATGTGACTGAAACGTTTTACATCCTGCACTCTTCTCTCTCATTTAATGTCTCTCTTTTTTTGATTTTATGATGATTATTTATGTTTTAATTTGTTTGCATTGTGATTTTAATGTATATCTTATTCTGTAAAGCACTTTGAATTACTTTAATATACAAATAAATTTGCCTTGTCAAAATGATCTTAAGATTAAAAGCTTATTAGAAAATCCAAATTTTTTATGTAAAATTTTGAAGATCTGTAAGTTTGGTCCACCTGTACTGGGCAAGGAAGTATAATAGGTCTCTGCTAATAAAGTTTAATAAATGCTGGATAGTTTGAATACATTATTTTGATCAGTAGATACAATTCTTTTCATTTTTATTTATTTTTTCTTGTTTATAATGTGCTTGTACACAGAACTATGTATACTATAGCCATTCAAATTTGCTTTTCATTTCATTTTGTTAGGACACTGGAATAACCTGGGAAGACAAACAATTATAAATACAATTTATTTGACACCCACAAGTGTTATGAAATCCACAAGTTAGTTTATAACTGAGAATCAAATGAAAAATAATCCAAATTGTAAAGAGACTATCGGCATCTAGACAAAAATGTAACTTAACTTTGAACCGTCTACAAAATGCTGCAAAATACCAGAACTTTAGAGGCTGTTAATTACTATATATCAATTGACATTTTACTTTACCCGAATGTTGTCGTGTGTGTTTTTACCTTTCCCTTGTCGAAGTAGTTGATGATTTGCTGGTAGAGTTGAGCCTTGAGTTGGCCCTGTGTCGTGGCCTGGTACGTGTCGCGCTGAGTCAGGTGAGCTGCACATGCTTCGTCCGACCACTAGGGGGAAAAAAAACAACAACAAAACAACATTATTGAGTAAATTGCAAAGGTAACACGTTTTTACTTTTTATTTTACTATGAAAAATGTCAAATTACAAAACATAAACAACCATACTTAAAAGTTCAGTTATTAAAAACAGCTACATTGAGTAAATTTCAGTTGAAGGGTCTGCCGCTTGCTTGTCTTCATGGAGATGTTATTCTGTTTCCTGGAATGTTCCACAATATAGCATTAAACACATCCATGGAGACAAAGCAAAGTACCTCACCAGGTCAAACTACAGGTCAAATCCAAGTTAGTGCAAGTCAATGAGAATGCATGTTGGCCCAATGAGGTTCATTTGGTCTTCCGATAATTTATGTTATTAGGTTCTTTGTTCAGACCAAGAGTTTGTTTTCATGACAGTTTCGACTGTTCACTAGTGGTCTTCCTCAGAGTGGTCACGTGATGTTGCTGTGACGTGTCCGGTCAGCTCATTTAAGCAGGTTTTGGCGCTGTTTTCCTACCGGTGGAGGCAGGACGACAGCGCCATCCGCAGTCCGACTTTCTCAGGACAGTATCTCAGGTGTGTGAGAGTAAAAGAGCCCCCTTATCCCGGTTTATCGTCCCGTGGGCATGTTTCCGTATTTCAATTGCCTCTTTAATGCAGCGACGATGTTTGTTTTCCTCTGGCCCAATGATGTTTACTCCATCCCAGTCCATAATGTGGTTCTCTATTTTACAGTGCTCAGAGATGGCCGATTTGAGTTGTTCCCGTTCTGCTTAGTGTTTTCTTGCTCGTGTGCACGCCTTCGCTGTTTGTATAAATCTTCAGAACAGACACGTCACAGCAACATCACGCGACCACTCTGAGAAAGACCTAGTGAGCAGTCGAAACAGGTACGAAAACACTCTTGATCTGAAAAAAGAACCTAATAACATGCCATACTGTGGAACATTCCAGCCAAGGCAATAATATGGCTAAAAAGAAAAGCAAGTAGCAGTAGAAAAGTGAAATTTAAATGGCATTTTAGAACATTTCTAGAAGTCTAACCTACAGGATAAGTATAAGTTTCATATATGATTAGACCCTATTATATAACCGTATTTTCCAGGATATTAGACGCGCTCTTAAGCCTCTAACCCCATCAAAAAACGACCGAACGCCCCGCAAGCCAGAGCGCCCTATACACAAATCCACTTCGGGTGTCCCAGCACGACTTCAGTAAACTACAAAACCGCACCACCCACAGAACACGCAAACACACACGGAGCAGACAGCGACCGCACAATGAAAATCACCCGAATCCACACTCATCACTCCACGCCGACGAGGAACGGAACGGAGGAACGAACCGAAAAAGCGAGGGCGATGTGCCGCTTCTAGACACGACTGAACAACTGAGTCACTGCGAACACGCCGACAATCCAGCGATCCCAGACAGCACCCTCCCTACACGCCACAACTGAACAAAGCCCAGAGTCACCGTGAACGCCACAAACAAAGTCCCACTGACCCATCCAACTGCTGTGTTTCGTTTAAAGTCTGGTGAAGTTTATTTGTGAAAAAAGTTCGAAAATAGACATTTAAAGGTTGTATAGAGGATTTTCCAAGGAACGAGAAATCCAGCGACTGTTTGTCCTTTTTCAAATGTTGCGCATGCGTGAAACCACCCCCCCTCCCCTACAGCTCCCTACGTAGAAACGCCTTCTCCCGCCTCCTCACTACGCCAGAAACAGGTTTGTTTACAGCCGGTGAGCTGCACATGACTTGTAAACAACTAACTACAGTGTTGGTTAGGCAAGGCGGAGAAGTGAGGAGCGGGGGGAGCGGGTGTGCGGACATTTCGTTCGCGGACGAGAAGTGAGGAGCAGGGAGAAGAGCGGAGCAGGGAGAGAGGAGAGAGGAGAGGAGAGCGGTGCGCGGAGATTCCGTGCCCGTAGAAGTGAGGAGAAGGGGGAAGAGCGGAACGGGCAGCGGGGACAGGAGTAGGAAAGGGGAGCAGAGAAGGTTGCGCGGAGATTCAGTGCGAATGAACTAGCTACAACACGCAGCAGCAAGCGGACTCTTTCTTTGCCTTGAAAATTACGTTTTCAGACATAGGATATCGCTTTCGTGTCCTGAAAAACGTTTGACTAGCTCTTGGAAATAAAGTACGTTTTCATAATAAGCAGAAGTGACCTGTCCAGGAGTAATTTGTGGACCAATGCGTCAGTCTTTAGACCCTGCGTCTGCTTCAGTCGCGCCATCGCTGGAATGAATCTACAAGAATCACCTTAGTTTGGCTTCGCTGCTTTTCCCCTTGTCTTCTTCTTTCAGCGACCTCAAAAACGGACTTTCTTTTGCGGCTAACTGCTCCTGGATTCTTGTCTGCCATTGCAACAAACTTTGTGCGAACTGCGAGGAAGATATAGGTCAAAAAAAGCCGCTAAGAACTGTTGCGTTGGTGGAGTAAACAGCGTCTGTGCGGCTTGCGTCTGTGGACTGCGTGACAGGCGTACGTAAACCACGTACCGGCGGCGCGCAGGCAAGTCAGTTACGCTAGAAACGTAGGGAGTTTGATTGACAGCCTGTCAGCTAACAGATAACGAGGCAGTGTCGTTATCTATTGGCAAATGTTTAGCTAGCCCCACCACGTCCAGAGTTGATGAATTTTTATTCTCTTTTTTTTGGTCATCATAATTACAAGGCTACTGCACCTCTATAATGCTATCATTGACAACTTGAAACAAAAAAAACAAAACAAAAATCCTCCATACAACCTTTAACGACAATGCACCTTATAATTCAGAGCGCCTAATAGTGTGGAAAATATGGTAGACCCTATTATATTACATTATTCTGGAGAAGTTTATTTTAGGCCAAGGTTTATGATGCTAAGAATAATCTGAGTGCTCTTATCGTCAAAGTATTTTAAAATCAATTGGATGGGACCATTGGGAGCAGTTATAACACAAGCAGCACTACGCAAAATAGAAATACTCAAGTAAAAATACCAGTGTACAGTCAAATATAGCATGGGGCTGCATTATGGTCTGCAGAGAAAGACAGAAGGTGACAGGAAATCCATCACAGAGTTATAGTGCATGTGAATGGTGAGAGAGAGGTGTAAATCTTTTGAGCGCTGCCCTGAACCCTGACAGAACCAGACCCGGGCCGGAGAACTGTCAATAATATTGAACGAATACAAGAGAGTATCAATAGAGCCGTGGAGCCCATTAAAGCTAAAAGGATCTAATGCTACTCAACCAAATGTCTGGACAATCATTCTGAGCTGTTTTGAAGCAGAAGACTTGATCCCCAGTGCCCCGCAGGTCAGATCTGTGGAGAGGCGACCCCGCTCACATTCTCTAGGTCACTGTTTACCAAAGACTGAGTCGTGAACCTCAGATGCGTCACAAGAGATTATTTTTTGGGTCGCCTTGTCACGATCTAGCCAGGCTGGTGCCACCTAGTGTCTCCGCTCAATTTCATTTCTCTCCAGCAACTAAGTCAGGAATCGGAATACACTAGACGGTTTGCAAAACCCCAGAAGTGCAAGTCCGGGCACCAGCCAATCAGCGAAGAGCCATATATTCAGTGTTGTCAACGATTCCCGAGATTGAGGATTTAAAGCCGGAATAAAGAGAATGTTTAGTGAATTTTATCAAGGGGAAAGACGTTATTGCCCTTCTTCCTATGGGACTGGGAAAAGCTTAATATACCAGTTATCCTCGTTAGTGGCGCATTACACATGTGACAACCAAATAGCAGCGATTGGTTAAATGATAAAAAGTACCCGCCTGCCATCGAGCGAACAAATTCTAACACTGCGAGGTCAGACGGTTTCTACGAAGCGAAACCGACTGATGAATCAGGCTTGTCATGATCTGCATGTAGGTCTGCAATATACATAAACATACATCTCCGCGCACCCCTCCCCGCTCCTCACTTCTTCTCCGTGCACTTTTAAACAATATGTTTAAAAGGACATACTACACTATTTTCTGATCATACCTGGAGTTTTGTTTTGTTAAGATGAGTTCTTCTGTCTGTTCCACCTTGTGATGTCATGTGGTAAAACAAGGAGAGATCCACATGTGTTTTTAAACTTCACTAGAATTATTTGGATGATTTCAGGCCTGCAGCTTGACTGAACTTCAAGTCAAAAAGGCAGCTGTTACGTTCAAAACTACAGCTTCATGACATCACAAGGTGGAACAGAGCATTTTGCGTTTTGGAGCTATAGACGAGAGGTCTGTGTCCACATTGTGCCGTCCCGCTCCCGCCCACATTTGCGATATTTTGTCCTGCTCCCACCCGCAAATCCCCCAAGATGAGGACGTTCGCTTTCTTAAGCTCTATCAAACACAGAGAAGCGGAAAGGAACTGTCTAAAATGTGCGCGAGATTTAACCACATCCACACATTTAGGCTGCTTAAAATGTTTTTATTAATGCCAAATAAAATATGCAGCACAAATGATGTATGATAGGCAAACATGAATCATTTGTATATTTTACATTACACTCAGATTTAGTTTGCGGGACTGCAGTTTATCATCCCACTCGCCCGATCCCGCATTGTGCAGTCCTGCTCCTGCACCGCACTGTTTTGCGTCGATTCCCGTGGGTCCAAAACGTGTGAATGAAACAAAACACAACTCCGGGTATGTTTTTGATGAGGTGACAACATTCTAGCATGGGTTAAAGCTCACAAGGATCCATTTTGCGTAACGTAGGACCTTTAATATAGAGGTTTCTTTGTTTTAATGTATGTAACATTCATATCCATACATCGTCTCTATATAGGCTACATGGTCAGTATTTTTAATCAACAAACTCTCTGCTCCATTCACCAAAATCTAAGATAAAAAATGAGCTTTCAATTGCGTACCAGATCGCATCCATCACTGAACGTTTCCTTTAAATAATGCATTAAATCAAAATCAAGATGTATTCACTGCCCTGTAATTTATCAGTCTATTTGTGTACATTTTTTTTTGAGCTGACTACATTTAGTCTCGAAAAGTTTTTAA